CCTCTTTCTCTCACTCCCTACATCCAATCCAAGTCAGAAACTTCCATGGGCTCTTCACTCAAAACAGATCCAGATTTTGACTACTTCTAATCACCTTCAAGTTACTACTATGGTCTAAATCACCATCATTGCTCACCTGGGTTTCTATAGTAGCCTTCTAATTTGATCTTCCTGCTTCTGCTCTTGCCATTCTACAGTCTATTCTCAACAAAAGACAGATTCTAAATATAAGTCAAATCAGGTCACATCTATGCTCAAGGTTGTCCAGTGGTTCCCCTTTTCACTGTGAATAAAACCCAAAAGTCTATGTTGACTTGCAAGATACTGACCTCCTCCCCTACTACTCTCTTTTTCTAGCTCACACTGTTTCAGTGACACAAACTTCCTAGCTACTCTTCAAACACACCAGGCAGCAGCACACTCCCACCTCAGGGCCTTTGCACTTGCACTTCCATGTACCTGAAATATTTCCCCTTCCCAAACCAACTATTTGCACGGCACATTCCATTACCTTCAGATCTCTGCTCAAATGTCACCTTTTTCAGAGAGTTCTTCCCTTATCAATCCCCATTCTTCATTGTCATTCCCTTCCCCTTGTGTTGCTCTGCATTTTTCTACAGCACTTATTACTACCTGTCATATATTTATTGGTTTGTTTGTTTATTGTCTGCCTCCTCAAGTTGGACTATAACTTTCAAAAGGGCAGGGACTGGGGCCAGCCGAGTGGCACGATGGTTAAGAACTGACTTGGGATGCCAGAGGGCCCCGGTTCGGATCCCACATATGAGGGCCAGTGACACTGCCCTCTACAGCTAAGATGCTGAACTACAGCTCAACCTGGAGCTGGGCTGCTGTGAGTCGCCGGGGACGGCTTAGGCTGCAGCCCCTGTGGCAGTGGGTTGCCATGGGCTACCGTGTGCAGCCAGCAGCCAGCGTGAGCGGCCAGCAGCTGCAGTGAGCAGCCGTCCAGAAGCCGGCGACTGATGTGCCTCGCCCGGGAAGAGTGCAATGATGGTGCCAACTTGGGCCAGTGAAGCAACATCCTCCACAACTAGACTGAAGAACAAAAAAAACCCAGCAACTTGTCTGTTCCCCTTCCCCCAATTCCCCAGCACTGTTCCCATCCTCCAATTCCCCAATAAAAAATATTTAAAAAAAAAAAAAAGGGCAGGGACTTTGTTTGCTCAGAATAGCACCTGGTACATAGTAAGTTCTCAATAAGTATTTATTGGATGAATAAATTGTTCCCCGCATAAACCCTTTACGCCAGAGAGACTTGGTCTTCCCACTGTCGCAATATAATAATAATGGTACTAAATTTTATTGAATGCTTTCAATGTGCCAGGAGTTGGACACATGTTTTTGTTATCCTATTCAATTGACAACTCCATGAGGTAAAAACTATTTTCATCCACATTTACGGTTGAGACAACTGAGGCTCAAAGAGGTTAAATAACTTGTACGCAATCATACAGTTAGTTAATGGGAGAAACATGACCCCAAATAGGTTAGTTTGACACAAAAATTCATCCTCCTAATTTTTATATTGTGCTGCCTCCCTACAATGTTTTCTCCCTTCTGTGAACTTTTCATGTAGTGGCTTTTTGAAGTTTGGCCCATAATTGCTTTCAGGCTGTTTTATATAGGCCTATCTGGTCTTCTCAAATAGAATGTAAGTTTCATGAGAACAGGCTCTGGGTCATTCAAACCTCATAACACATTGTATCTAATATTTTTAAGAAAATTAATTTAAATTAAATTTATGACTAATATGTCTAATTTCTCTCCTCATTGTTAAAGCAGAGTTTGGACAACTAGAATAATGAAGTAGTCTCATATGATGAAGTAATATCATATGGTAGTTGACTAGGAATGAAAATATCTGGAGATTAGTCTCCATTGTCTTCAAGCAGTATATGACACTTAAGCAAATCAGTTAGCCTTTCTGGCCCTTAAACTACCTGTCTGTAAAGAGAACTGGCCTAGATGGACTCTAAACAGTTGCTTCAAGTTCTAAAAATACTGTTATTCCACGAACATTTATAATGTGTCAAGCCAAAAGTAAAAGGCCAAATTCTTCCTTAATATGGTTCTATTTTGGCTAATTGGAGTACTTGCTAAGAGCACTACTATTTCCTTTGTGGGTTATTAAAGTATATAAGACATGCCCCAAAACAAGGAATGAGATACAACTGTGGTTTGCTAATACCACTACAGCTATCTAAATGACCCAGGTTAGGTTGAAAAGAAAGTCAAACTGTGGCTCCATAAGAAGTATATCAACTGGAGCAAATCACTGAAAAGATATCATTTTAAATAGCATTAATAAAAATTAGAGCAGCAATAAGGTGGTATCTAAGACAAAGGACTTTGGGGGGAAAGGAGGACTTCATAGAATAAATCATGTGATAGAGAGTTTGAAAATATTGCGTATATGATAAAGCAAACTGCAAGAAAACTGGCAGGCAATTTTTAACGTCAGAGAAAACAAAAATCTAGACATAAAAGGAAATGCAATCGTACTATATTACACTTATGTAAACACTAGCTTTAAATTAACAAAAAAAGCAGAGCTATAAATATATTGGGATAATGACAAAGAAGTTAGAGGAATATACAAGAATTAAATTCTCATCTGTTATAATAATAAGTCAATATTTTCTTTAAAACGATGAAGAAATATCAGTATAAGCATATTATTTAAAAATACGGAGGTAACAAAGGGAAGTAACCACATATCTGGCATATTTGTACTTTACTTTCTTATAACAAATGTGATTTATTTGTAGTTTGCATTTGCTTCGCTGTAAACAAAAGAATTGAATAATAATAATCCATATGGAACTTGTGTCCCACTCCTCCACCCCTGGGATCCATAACACCTACATAGGGCTAAGCACCCAATGACTTCAACAATTCCTGTTGGTTGAGTAACCAATGTAAAAATGGAGTGAAGATGTCTTGTTATGGAGCTGCAGAATTTTGCTCCGGAAGTAAATGCAGAGATTATTTCATCCAGTACTTCTCAATTTGGTGTTCCATGGACTATTTATTCTTATGATGTTAATACCATACTACAAAAAGTGTCTGGGGATCAAATAAATTTGGGAAATTCCATGTTAAACAAAATTAATTAGATGTGTTTACTGTAGGACTTCTTGGAGCCTTTATTTACTATGATAATATACATTGTGAATCCCATGAAAGGCCATTTATTATGTAGTATTTCTCACACTCATTTGTTTCACAAATTAAGATGCCCCTGCTAATAATATCTCTAGTAATCAGTGGTTCCTGGAGCATTCTTTGGAAAACACTGATCTAGTCTACTCCCCTCATTATACAAATGGGAAAAGAAAGGCTTTCTGGATTCTGTTCAGGTGTGGATGATGGGGAACCAGAAAGAAGGGCCTCAGGATTCTGGAGCAATCTCCAGTGATTGAACAACTTTGGCCTGTGTTTTCTCAGTCTTTCACCATGCCCCTGAATTATTTCAAACCAGGGGAAACAATCAGACACAAGCATCTCCTGTACAGATCTTTAAAGGTTTTCTGATCCCTAAGGCACCTAAGAGGTGGGCCCAAGTGTCAGCTGGAGCTCAACATAAAGTCCAGGGCAGGAGCTAAAGAAAGTCTAAACAGACATACAGACCATGAGTTTCAGTGGCATAATGACAGCAAATTGAGCAATGGCAATGTGATAATAGACCCACTCACATTTGTACAGTGTTTTAAAATAAATAAATAAATAAATGTTTTCACATTGTCTTATTTGGTTCTCATAATAATCTAACGAGAAAGACAAGGCTGGAATTATTATCCCCATTTTATGGAAAAGGAAACTGACTCTGAGAGAGTTGCCTCTAGTTACACAGCAGGTGACTGACAGAGTTAGAATGAGAACCTAAATTTCCTGTCTGTGAGGTTAGGGCTCTTCTCAATATATCGCACAAACTAGGCAAAATGTTGACTGACCAATTTAACTCTTCCATGAAACATCTAATCTGCTCCAAGTGGCTCACTTAATAATAGGATCAATTTTCAAAGTGCTCATGGATGGTGGCAGAAGCCATACCCCAATTACTGGAACTTCAAGGTCCTATTTGGGTTTAGCATATTAATACCTCCTACAGAACAACATTGCCAAGCGGAGGGCATATTAGAAAATTTCTGCTGGGGAGGCAGTATGGCCTAGTTTTACAAGCAAGGAGTCAGATAGACTTGGTTTTTAATCCTGGCTCTACCACTGACTCCATGACCTTATTGCAACCTTTCTGTGCTTCATTTCTTCACCTGTAAAATGGAACTAAGAATACCTATTTTGCAAAGCTGTTGAGAAGCTAATGTAAGGAATTAAAGGGATAGTATAGTGTCATAGTCAAAAGTGTAATCTCTGGAATTATACTACCTGGGTTTGAATCTCAACCCTGCTTCTTGCTAGCTGTATGACTTTGGATAAGTCATTTAACATCTCAGAAGTTCAGTTTTCACATATGTAAAGTAAGGAAAATGAATAATGCAATAATGGTTGTTGTGAGCATCAAATGAGATATTTGTTAAGCACTTGAGCATAGTGTCTGGCATATAGCTCACTAAAAGGTAATGATGACAGCAGTGGTGGTGGTAATGAAAATCCAATACCAATTTTCCTCCCAAAGCAAGAATGAGAAAGAAAGCTACTCAGTCCTGTTCTCTTCCATTTACCCTGTCCCTTCTTTCCTCTCCAACTACAAGCCAAGAACACTAGACTAGAAGTCAGGACACTTGGCTTTAAATATCAATTCTGTCACATGCTACTTATGTGATTTAAGTCATTTAACTTCCTTGAGGTATTTTTTCTCATCTGAGATATTGATATTTTGCTTACTCTGCCAGGTTATTGTAGGTATCAAATAAGTTCATGGATTTTAAAGTACTTTGTGAACTATGAAATATGAAACACTATAAAAATGCACGGGATGATTTTTTATCTACCACAAAATATAAGATAGATGTTTTTACCAGTAAAAAGCAATTTTATCGCCAAGTTTTTTCTCGTGGACATTTCGATCCAGTACGTTGTAACAGATGTTGGTAGTTGCTCCTTTCATCCACTCAATGAATATTTTCCCTTTAGTCACATCAAAGTTGTACTTGAGGAATGGGCCAGGACATGAAGTCTTCCAATAAAATTCCTTGGCAATGTCTCCCCAAAATTCTGCAACAGAAAGGGAAGCCCAAATATCACTAAGCTTCTCAGATATATTTCTCCTCAGATATTTTACCAGTCTATGCACAGGACCAAGTCACAATTTCCCTGCTCTATACTCTAGGACCCACCACCTGGGTTCCCTCTACTCCTGTCTAAGCTTATCATCCACCACTCTCCTAACCTACCTTCTTTCTATTCCCATGAGCTGAATTTTTTTTATTCGGTCTTTCTTCCCTCCTCAAAATCCCCCTCCATTTTTCACCATCTATTTCAAATCGCAGCCACCCAGAGCCTATCACAATCCCTAGCACATTGTAAGCAATTTTTAATAAATTAATTAGTGAAATGAAGAACTCTTTACCCACAGAGCCTTCCATGACCATGTCTCTCTTAATTTGTTCATTCACTCTCAGCCATTATTTAGTGAGCAGCTCCTCCTCCTACTACTACTTGCCCAAGTGTTACCTGCTATGTACCAGATGTTGCTTTAAGCTCTTTATATGTATTATTTCATTTAGTCCTTACTACAATCCTAGGAGGTAGGCCTTATTTTCATTTTCATTTATTGATTTGAAAATCAAGGCTCAGAAAGGTTAAATAACTTGCCCAAGGTTATACAATTACTAAGCCAAGACTTGAACTTCCCTGAGGAAGTTATTTTTTATAAAATCTGAAATCTGAATAGAAGTTTTCTTCATTCTTCACTTGATCTTTCTCCTAAGAGCAATGGAAAAACATTGTAGGATTTTAAGCAGGAGGTGGACATGATCATATTTACAATCTTAAACTGTTTGCCTGAAACCCTGGAGAAAATGTGCTCAACAGGTAAAATAAGTGACTGCAGAGCACTTAGGTTATTCTCAGTACTGGATCAGGAGCCAGAGGGGAGAAAGACACTTAGAACCATAACAATGGAAGGAACTTTAGAGATTATCACCCCCTCATTTTAGTGATAAGAAACCAAATTCATAGAGGTAAAGTGACTTGCACAAGGTTCTATGATATAGTTTACACAATCTAGTTGGAGAGATAAGACTAATACATGAAATGCTTTTGAACTTACAAGAGAGAATATAATTGAAAGCTAAATCACATGGTATACCATTTGCAATCAAAGAAATCCAAATTAAATCATCCCAAGGTGCCATTATATACTTGTAAAAACTAGCAAAGATTAAAAAAAATTAAGCCTAATGCCTCAGTGGCCCGGGGAAACATAACTCTCACATAGACAAGAAATCGGCACAATCTTGGTGGATGATGGCAGGGCAATGCCTGACAAGAGCCATACTATTTTTATACCCTTTCATCTGCTAACTCGACTTTGGGAAACACGCTACAAGAAAATGATCCCAAAGAAGGAAAAACAATTACTAAAGAGATGTTTATAAAACACTATACTAGTAAAACTGGAAAATACCCAAAAGCCCAACAATGAAAAAAAAAAACCTGATGAAAACTAGTAATACTAGTAGTAATATAATAGACTACTGAATGGCCATTAAAGAGAAAGTAAATGGGAACTGGCATTTCAGTGAGTGCCATTCATGTACCAGGGACTGAGCTAATTTCATTTAATCTTATATGGCCCTATGAAATAATCATTAATTACCCTAATTTTATAGATGAGAAAACTGAAGCTCAGGAAACACAGGAAGCTCTCCCAAGGACCATATACCGAGAAACCAGAATACAAAATCAGATCTGACTCTAAAGTCCACATTGTTACAGCTACATTCAGTACATGTGTATACTCAAAAATATTTTTAAGTGATAATAGCAGATATAAATTATGTAAAACTATTTGTGAACCACATTTATGTCCATCAGCAAGGAGTGAAGAAAACTGCGTTTAATGATCACTTAGTTTTGTTTTTCAGTTTTTAGTTGTTTTTGGAGATGTTGAAATCTGGATGTTTCATTGGCACACATTCTAAGTACTGAAGAAGTTTAGAAGAGGAAAAGATGAGCATGGACTGGAATGATCATGGAATGCTATGTGGAATTGATGGGGTTTGACTAGGTAAAGAGGAACAGAAAGAAAAGGGCAAAAGTAAGGAGGTGGTGGGAAAGAGACTTTTGTATATCCAGTATATCAATGGGAATGACCTGTTCAGAATGAGGGTGTGGTAGGGAGTAGTGGGAGATTAGGATAGAAAGGTGGAGCAGGGCTAGTTATCCAGAGACCTTGAAAGAAAGGCTGAATTTTTATTTGAAACTGTAGGAAATAGAAAACTATTGAAAGTTTTTGAAGTGACATAAGAAATCAGTGTTTCCAGAATATCCATCTATTAGTGTTTAGATAAATATATCAGAGATTGAAGGTGGATGAGACTAGGGGAGAGAGAACCAATTAGGAGGCTGCTTCCTTGAGCTAAAAGGGTCTGTGGGAATGGAAATAAAGGTAATCTGAGAGACATTTTGAAATAGTATTTGACAAAATTTGGTGAAAGACAGACTGTGGTGTTAGGGAAGAAAAATAGCACAGCTATTAGGAGTACAGGTTCTTCAGTCAAGACTACCTTGGTTCAAGTCCCAGTTCCACCACTAAAAAGCTTTGTCACCTTGTACAAGTTAATTAACCTAAGTTTCAGTTTCCTTCTCTGTAAAACGTGGATAACGGTTTCTACATCAACTCCAACAGGATTTGTGTTTAGTCAGCAGTAAGCAACCTATAAATAAATAAGATATATAGATAGATCTTATTAGAGAAGAGGATAATGAGAGAGATTTATCGTTTGGGATAGCGTCATTGACAGGGAACAGAAAATTAGGTAGGAGAACAGGTTTGGGATGGAAAATTGGCAAACCCCCAGTCACAGTCATGTTAACTATAGTATGATATCACGGTATGTGAATAAAATGGTCCACAGACCTATGACATTTGGGACCAGAGCATAAGTGAGATCCTGGGCACAAAAATGTATAGGAGTTATTATTGTGGCAGTTACAGCTCACCCCTGGGAAAGAGATGAACTCATGATGGGAGAAAATGTATATACTTGTAGAGAGTGAAGTCAAAAAGGTCTGAGGACTCAAACGTGGACACTGCCTGCAGCAATCAACCACTCTACAATTGATTCAATCCTATCATGCATTACTCAGTAACTGCTTCATCCATGTTGTTTTCATTGTTATCCAACTAACCACCATTTATTGACTGTCTACTGTGCATCAGACATTATAATACACACTTTGCTTATTACCCACTTTTGTCATCATACAAAACTATGAGATAAGTACTATTATCTCTATCTTATAAAGAAAATGAATCTCAGTTTTAAAAAGCTACCTAAGATAAATGAGTGGTAGAACCAGGCTATAAATCTAGATTTTTTTTTTGGGGGGGGGGTGGATTTCTGGCCTACTCTTGACCTACTGCCAAACATGCTGCCTTCTAACCCAGGAACAATTTTGACCCCTTTCCCACACTGAGGGGCAAGGGCAGGGAATTTTCCTCACACATTCTTAAAGACATGGAACTCTCTATCAGAATTTCTGTTATTACCATCCCAGCCCAAAGTTTAAAAAAACCCACAAAACTTAACTAAAATGTAACTCGTTCAGTCTTATATTGGGTAATTTCCATTGGGATTTCTGAAACACCAAAAATAGATCTGAGACTCCACTGTTAATTGTGGGGACCCCAGGATGGGAACCAGATGGGTTCCTGTCCTTCAAAAAGGGAGGCTAACTCACTGGTTAAAGGTGTCGGGAAGCAATGGCTGAATTGGTGTGAAAGGGGGCAAGGAAAGCTCTCCTCCAGGCACTCCTCTCTTCAAGGTGTGCCCCCTCGGCCCTGGGAACCCCTCTTTTCACCCTAGGAATGAATCCTTCTCTTCTCATACAACTTTCACTTCCCTCACAGAACCTCCATCTCCTCGCGGACCCCTCAACCTCCCAAGGAAATCCGCAACTCCCCCAGAAAACTCCTATCCCCTTACGGAATCCCCATTTCCCCACGGAACGCCCCCAATTCCTCACTCCCCTGGGAGCCTCTACTCCACTCCTCACTGACGCCCCAGGGCGCACCGGGGCCCGGCCTCACCTCGCGGCTCCTCCACAGAGCGCCGGTGCAGCTGGCGGTAGCACTGCAGCGAGGGGACGTGCGCGGAACGGCTAACCTCGGGCGGCGGAGACCAACTCCGCACACGGCTCCGGGTCCCAGCCTCCTCCCGGCCAACGCTCCCGCTGCCGTTCCGGCCCCGCTCCTCGGGAAGTCCCATCGCTTCAAGGTCCGAGCACGACAGCCGCCTTTGCTGTCGCCCGTGGTACTTGAAGGCGAAAACAGGCCGCCTGGTGGGCGGGGCCTTAGGGGAGGGGAGGGGCCTGTCGGGTGTGGGCGGGGCTTGGACAAACCGTGGGTGGGCGGCCTGGAGAGGCGGAGCTATACTCTCGGGGAGCAAGACAAGGGTTAGCAAAGACACGGATAGAGAAAAATCAAGCCCTGCTTGGGGGATAAGGGGCGGAGCTGATTCGCGGAAGGGGTGGGGTCTTAGAGTAAAAGCATAAGGGGCGGGGCCTGGCGTGACGGGATGGGGTGAAATCATGGAGTGTCAGGGGAGGGGCAGGGCCAGCCCTGACAGGCGAGGAGGAGGGCCCATGGAGTGGCCAGCGCGGGGTGCGGTCTTGGAACGACAGATGAGAGGCTGGGTTAAGGCGGGGCTGGACCGGGAAAGAGCTTGGCTAACGAGAGGAATTGGGTCAGGTCCATCTTGGAGCCACCCCTTGGTCTGATTGCACAAGCCTAACTATCACCCCACTGAACTGGAAAGCCAGGTGGAGTAGGGTTCTTTCCGGGTGCCCTCTGGGAACGCTTACTTTCAAAGAACTATCGGTCCACTCAGAGTAAACCCCTCCCCTCTGTCCTCAGAAGAAAATGGAGGGCATGGCCTGGGGACAGGACCCCTTCTCGGCTAACCTTGGTGCCAGCTCAGATTTTCTCCTACCCCTGAGTATATGTCTTCACTCTCCCTGCCTCCACAAGTTTTCATTCAGCTCTAAAATACAAGATTCATTGAAGAGTAGGAAGTGTGTTCAGGCCTTTGCTAAGAAAACCACCTCCTCGTTGCACAAATGGTGGATTCAGGGAAAGGAAGGAATTTGTGCAAGGTTGCAGAGCAAACAATGACCAATATAGTGGCAAACCTAGGTCTCCTGACTCCAAGCCTTTTTACCCCCTCATCAGGCTGAAGCTAAGGCTTGTGAAATATTGTACCAAAGTCCATGCAAATAAGAGGAATCGCTCATACCCTTCTTCACTTCACCAAGAGAACACTTCCACCTGCCATACCTGGACTCAATTACCTCTGCCTTCCCTTGATCTCTTCCACTCCAGAAAGGAGGGGCCAAGCAGGACCCTCCATCTCCCACTTGCACTCACCACCAAGAAAGGCCCACCCCTGGGCCGGCCGAGTGGCTCAGTTGGTTAAGAGCTCGCTCAAGAGTGCAAACTCTGGGCCGGCCAGAGTGGCGCGATGGTTAAGAACTGGCTTGGGACGCCAGAGGGCCCCGGTTTGGATCCCACATATGAGGGCCAGTGACACTGCCCTCCTCAGCTAGGATCCCACATATGAGGGCCAGTGACACTGCCCTCCTCAGCTAAGATGCTGAACAACAGCTC